ATGCAGGTTTGAGATATTCAAAGTTCTCGCTAAATATACTTTCTTCATTAGGGATTTGGTAGGGTGGTCTTACGGGACAATGTGACTGTGATATTATATAGCTAGGTGCAGAGGCTGCAGATAAGATATTTAATAAACCATTTTCTGATGGTGAAAAAATAAATATGCATGAGGTTGCTGACAATTTTCACCAGAAATGGGGGAAATCTATTACTCTTCTAAGATGTAAAAAAGTGCTGGATTTGTTTAGGGATGGGATGATGGACACAGACTTTTTTTATCTGCACTTCTACAGATTTTGCTTGCTCTAAATTTGTAGTTCTGTCTTTTCATATCATAGCATCCCCATATTGTCTCCTGCAGGCATACTTTACTCATTCCCAGAGGCAAACTATACAAAACACATGCATGTGTGTAAAATTTTAAAAATATGAAAGACAACCTTGCAAGGCTGTGAAGTCGAGCAAAGGAGTAATGGGTCTTGCCTTGGAGCAAAGGTAGATGGGGGAATAATTTTGAGTAGAAAAATGGCTACTTTCCTAAGGCTGTTTCCATTTTTAAAGAAATTGGGGCTTCACAAATGTAACATGTAGCTTACATATAGTGTAGCCTTCCTCTGCATCATCATGTATACAGTTTACCCCAGACTATGGAACCTACGATGCACTATTATTTTGATTAAAGTACGAGTGTAGGGTGAGTACAAGAAGAAGAATCGAATCTGTAGGGATGGTGTCAGCAAGGCTAAAGCGCAGATGGAGCTGAGGCTTGCGAGGGATGCTAAAAATAACAAGAAAGGTTTCTATGCCTATGTTCAGAGCAAAAGGAAGAACAGGGATGGGGTAAGCTCATTGCTAGGGGAAGACGGTCAAGCCTTAATAAGGGATGAAGACAAAGCGGAATTACTTAACTCTCACTTTGTGTCGGTCTTTAACCGTAAGGCAAGCTGTATACAAACTGAAGAATGCAGGATATATGAAAGAAAGAGGAACTGCCAGTCCAGAGTAAGTAAGGAAATGGTTAGAGAGCATCCAGCTGCCTTAAAGAGCCTCTGGTTCTAATCTTTGAGATGTCCTGGAGTACTGGTGTTGTGCCGGAAGACTGGAGAAGAGAAAATGTTGTCCCGATCTTCAAGAAGGGGGAAAAGACGAACCCAGGAAATTACAGGCCTGTCAGTTTGACATCAATACATGGAGAAATTCTAGAGCAGATTATTAAACGCTCTGTCTGTGAGCATCTTGAATGGAATGAGTTAATTGGTAGTAGCCAGCATAGGTTTATCAAGAATAAGTCATGCCAGACCAACCTTATCTCCTCTTTTGACAGAGTTACTAAAATGGTTGACTCTGGCAATGCTGTGGACATAGTGTATCTAGATTTCAGTAAAGCATCTGAAAAAGTTTCTCATGATATCCTTGAGGATAAGCTGTTAAGTGTGGGCTGGATAGTGCAACCATTGGATGGATTCATGGTTGGTTGAAAAATCGTACCCAATGAGTGCTTGTAAATGGCTCTGCATCTAGGTGAAGGGAAGTCTCGAGTGGAGTGCCGCAGGACTTAGTCCTGGGCCTGGTGTTCTTCAATGTTTTTTATAAATGACCTGGAGGAAGACATAGAGGGGATGCTTATCAAATCTGCAGATGACACAAAGCTGGGTGGGATTGCTAATTCTGAAGAAGACAGAGTCAGGAATCAAAATGATCTAGATAAGCTGGAACAGTGGGCTGAGACAAAATGAATTTCAATAGAAATAAGTGCAAAGTCTTACACTTAGGTACAAAAAATCAAAGGCACAGATATAAAATGGGAGGGACTTGGCTTGACAGCAGCACATGTGAAAGGGATCTGGGTGTTCTGGTTGATCACAAGCTAAACATGAGTCTGCAGTGTGATGTGACTGCGAAGAAAGCTAATACAATCTTAGGATGCATTAACAGAAGCATTGTGTCCAGATCACGGGAGGTGGTAGTTCCGCTCTATTCTGCTATGGTGAGGCCTCACCTCGAGTACTGTGTCCAGTTTTTGGCACCACATTTTAGGAAGGATGTTGACAAGCTCAAGCATGTCCAGAAGAGGGCAACCAGGATGGTGAGAGGGTTGGAATCCAAGTCTTATGAGGAAAGGCTGAAAGAGTTGGGTATGTTTAGCCTGGGAAAGAGAAGGGTTAGAGGGGACATGATTGCAGTCTACAAATATTTGAAGGGCTGTCATGTAGAAGATGGAGCAGATCTATTCTCACTTGCTCCGGATTGCAAGACTAGATCTAATGGGTAGGAATTACAAGAAAGTTGATACTGGCTAAATATCAGGAGAAATGTTCTAACTGTGAGAGTGGTTGAGCAGTGGAACAGACTGCCTCGGGAGGTGGTGGATGCTCCTTTGCTGGACGTTTTCAAGCAGAGGCTGGATGACCATCTTTCAGGTATGTTGTAGGGCTATCTTTCAGCTATGCTGCTGCAGAGTGCAGGGGGTTGGACTAGATGACCTGCAAGATCCCTTCCAAGGCTAACATTCTATGATTCTATGTACAATACTTTTTTTGTTGTTGTTCAGTCACAAAGTTGAGTCTGACTCTTCGCGACCCCATGGACCAGATCACGCCAGGCCTTCCGGTCTTCCGCCATCCTCTGAAGTTTGCTCAGCTTCATGTTCGTTGCATCTATGACACTGTCACAGTACTTTTAGAGCCTGTATAATGTTAAAGAGAAAGAAAGAGGAGCACAAAATGGAACAGAAAGAAACTGATAGGCTCAGCAGATTTTCTGTAGACATCCATGGCTCTGGGAATAGATTTCACAGCTGATCCCCTTGGTTTTTCACATATCCCTAGTTATTGTGTTATGTAAGATAAAACTTCCAAGAGCTCATGTTGTTCCACATCATCTGCCAGCCTTCACTCTCTGCTCTCCCACAGGATTAGATTTGAGTTTGTTCCATTATCTGTATTTTGTGGTTGCAGTATTGTATATGTAAAGAGGGGCCGTGGTTCAGTGGAAGAGCATCTGCTTGGCAAGCAGAAGGTTCCAGGTTCAATCCATGGCATCTCCAGTTGAAAGGATCAGGTAGGAGGTGATGTGAAAGACCTTAGCCTGAGACCTTGGAGAGCCACTGCCAGTCTCAGTAGACAGTACTGACTTTGATAGACCAAGGGTCTGATTCAGTATAAGGCAGCTTCATGTGTTCATGTAGCACATATAAAATGGAGGACATATTAAGATGCTGGAATGTGGAAGGACTGATTTGGCTGTTATAGATTTGGAGAAGGGTTAAAGAAACAAACATTCCATGGGGGGGAGGTCAAGTGAATTACCTCTGCTAACAGGGAGCAGAGTAGTGTTCTGTGTTGAGAGAGAATCCTTTGCATCAAGTTACATTTGTACACATCTCAGCGAACCTTAAATGCCTCCCAGATCTCTGGGCTCCTTGTAAACTGTGCTAAAGCCAAGAAATAGTCTGTCGGGGCTCCTTGGTGCTTTGAGCAGATCCCAGCAAAGGATAACTGCATACTCAGACTTCTCAGGAATAGGAGGGATTCAGTACAACATAGTGAGGGTGAATACTGTTTAAGAGCCAGTTTGGTGTAGTGGTTAAGTGCGCAGACTCTGATCTGGGAGAACCGGGTTTGATTCCCCACTCCTCAACTTGCACCTGGCTGGATGACCTTGGGCAAGCCGTAGCTCTGATAAGAGCTGTCCTTGAAAAAGAGCAGTTTCTGTCAAGAGCTCTCTCAGCCCCACCTACCTCACAGGGTGTCTGTTGTGGGGAAGGGAAGGGAAAGGAGTTTGTAAGTCGCTCTGAGACACCTTTGGGTAATGAAGGGCGGGGTATAAATCCAATCTCTTCTCTTCTTCTCTTCTTAATTTTAGGACAAGTCTGAGTACCAAAGGATGGCACCAGGAGTTTTTATGTGAAGGCCCAGCAGGACCCAGCAGAGCCTAATGGATGCTGTCCATGCTGGCAGTGTCAGTGGCAAGAGAATGTTCTGGGGTGGGGGGTAGAGGGAATGGACAGGCTCCTATTGAACAAGCCCTCATTAATCCCGCCCCCTACTTATTCCACCACATGTGCCTCTTGCTCTGGCTACTCCTTGCCATCCTCTGCCTCCCTTACCCGATGGTCAAGAGAGAGGGAGGTGGGGCTGATGCTGTCCCTTACATGGCCTTTGTCCTCTGCCCCCCATGCTCAACTCCATCACAAAGAAGGCAGCGTCATGCTATCCGGCTCACCCCTCCACCTGCTGAGGCAAATCGTGACCCTTTCCTGATGCTCATAACTCATGAGCCTTTTATGCAGATTATTAAAACAGTGTCATAATTATAATGTTCTTTTAAAATTCTTTCTTCTGATATGAGACAACCTTTGACAACCCCTAAGCAATATTTATTACTATAATTATTTACTTTATTTATATCGTACCTTTCTCCCCAATGGGGAGCCAAAGCAGCTTATGGAGAGCCAGTTTGGTGTAGTGGTTAAGTGTGCAGACTCTAATCTGGGAGGACCGGGTTTGATTCCCCACTCCTCCACTTGCACCTGCTGATGTGACCTTGGGTCAGTCACAAGCTCTGGCACAGCTGTCCTCGCAAAAGAGCAGTTTCTGTCAGAGTTCTCTCAGCCCCACCTACCTCACAGGGTGTCTGTTGTGGGGAGGGGAAGGGAAAGGAGTTTGTAAGCCGCTCTGAGACTCCAAGTGAAGGGCGGGGTATAAATCCAATCTCCTCTTCTTCTTACGTAATTCTTCTCTCCTCCATCTTATCCTCACAACAACCCTGTGATGTTGGTTAGGCTGAGCGTGTGTGACTGGCCCAAGGTCACCCAGCAAGCTTCCCTGGCAGAGTGAGGATTCAATCCTGGGCCTTCCAGATCCTAGTCTGACACTATAACCACTACACCACACTGGCATATTGATATTAACATCAATGGCTTTTATGTCATTTTCAATTATTCCTGTTTGTGGCACAACATTCTGCATGCAACTTTCCTTTAACAAGCCTCCTCAGACCCTTCGAGACCATCATCCTGCTGACCATCTTTGCCAATTGTGTGGCACTGGCTATCTACCTGCCTATGCCTGAAGATGACTCCAACAAAGCCAACTCCAGACTGGTAAGAAATTCTTCTCTTTCATGTTTCTGTTGTGATACTCCTGAGGTGACCCCTTAAGAGCTGAATTCAGTGAATGGTACTCCAAATTAGCTTTAGAATGATTGCTGGAACATTAAGCTAAGGGAAAATTAGGGATGTTTAAATATGTGAAATCTCAAATCCCACACTGCAGAAAAATTTGGTTCAATTATGCCCTGGATTTTATGTTCTATATGCATAATAAAATAATCCATCTTCTGCACTAACACTACAGAGACAGTTACTCCAATCTAAGCCTATTTACTTGGATGGATGGCTGAATAAGGGCATAACTCCTGCTTAAAATTACATTGCAAGAAACCTAGATTTTTATACTCAGACACCAATTATGCTTTTCTAGTTCCTGTACACAACATGCATTTTGAATCATTACACATCATACACACAGGCATTCCTGTTGTGGAGGTGCCTTCTATGTTACTAAGAGCTGGAAAAGTACTGTTATTTGCACCCCAATTTCCCAGGGCATGAAAACTTATTACTTGAGTTGGTTCCCTTTGGTGACTTACAGCATTTTTGTAGAGTTTGTTTCATTTACAGATGTACAAGTAGAGCACAGCTGGAGGAAAAGAGGCATTCTTACAGGGCAGCAGATCTCCTACTCCACATCAGAGATGAGAGAAAGAAAGAGTTCTGTAGCCAACACCTCAGCAGAGTCTGTCTGCTCCCCCTCTTTGTCTCTTCTAAAATGTAAACTATATTTTCCTTTTACACAAACATACGCCTGCCCTCTCCCTTTACCTAGGAGTGGGACTCACCTTGTCCAATCCCTAATGAGTTCTTAGCCTGAGCCATATGTTAAGGCCCATTGAGGAAATAACCACAGTTTTAAAGACAGAACAAAACTTGAGTCCAGTGGCACCTTTAAGACCAACATCTGTTGCTTCAGACCAACAGGACTACCCTCCTGAATTTTAAAGACAGATTGCCATTGCCTTTATCATGCAAATTGATCCATGGAATCAGAAGCCAAACCCGCATTATCACACACACACCCCGCTTAGAAAAAACAAACTGGTTAACAAGAAATCAAAAACATACAAAGTCCTTAAACACAAATGTTTCACATATTACCAAGATATTTCTCCATAACCATAACTATTCAATTTGTTTTAATTCTACTTTTCCTTAGAGACAATTCTTGTTTCAAAGCCATTGTCCTCCCCTTAAGCACATCCTTGGACTAGATGACCTGCAAGGTCCCTTCCAACTATAACATTCTATGATTCTATGATAAGCCAATGTTGGATCAGGCCAATGGACCATCCAGTCTAACTCTGTCACACAGTGGCCAAAAATACCAGGTGCCATCAGAAGGTCTAGCAGTGGAGCCAGGACACTAGAAGCACTCCCACTGTTGCCCCTCCCCAAGCACCAAGAATACTGAGCATCATTTGCCCCAGACTGAGAGTTCCTACCTTGTGGTTAATAGCCACTGATGGACCTCTGCTCCATATGTTTATCTAATTCCCTCTTGAAGCTGTCCATGCTTGTAGCCGCCGCCACCTCCTGTGGCAGTGAATTCCAAGTGTTAATCACTCTTTGGGTGAAGAAGTACTTCCTTTTATCTGTTCTAACCCGACTGCTCAGCAATTTCATTGAGTGCCCACAAGTTCTTGTATTGTGAGAAAGCGAGAAAAGTACTTCTTTCTTTATCTGTGTGTGCAAGGCTTTATCTATGTGTGCAAAGACCAAATAACTCCAATTTTGGGGTGGGGGGAGAGAGAAAATGTATCCCTATTTGATATGTTATTCAGGCTCTGTTCATCTCAGTTTTACCTTTTTTCCTCCATCCAGCCAGTCACCTCTCTACAGATCATGTGTTTGTGTGGGTCTTCTTCAGTGTCCCCAAAATGTTTCCTTGTGTCTTAAGCTTTTCTACATCTATGGTGGAACACCCGCACAGACCTACGGGTCCTGTTCCATCTTTGCCTCCAAGGCATCTGGGCACCAGTGTCCATCCAAGTCTCTACCTGGCAATGTGCCCCTCTCCTGGCTTTCCTGGCCACTGGAGGGTTTTCTCTCTCCCTCTTTTGGTGCACCCACTTCCACCACCTGTCCTTTGTAGGAATCACCCACTGCGAGAACCAGGACTTCCAGCTCTCCATTCCCCTGCATCACTGTTCTAAAATCCTGCCTTGTGCCTCCATCTCCCGCTACCCATGTCTGGTTTTCACAAGGACAGCTTACTGCACTAGCTCATTCCTTGGGAATTAGCAACTCACCTTCTCCTGGCATCTATTTTAAATAGTGTGTCTGATCAGTGGAAATCTATGTAATACAGAGAACAACCAGCATAAAAAATTTAAAAAACACTTACTAAAAATAAAATGCTCCACACAGCAACAGATTGAGCAAGGGATCCAAAAAACCCCATGCAAATATGCAATTCCGCTGTCCATCATTCTGCACATGCTCTAACTAATCTTATTCTAAGGCAGGCTCTTTAATTTAGAAATTACAGTGTTTTAAAAGTTTACCTTGAGTCTTTGGCAATGGCGGCCTTCAGCAGGGGTCCAGGTCTGAGACCTCCTTCCCCCCAGGTAGAATCAGCCAAAGAGAGCTTCCCCCTTTGTGCCCACCCCCATGTGTGTTAAAGAAGCCTTTCTTGAAATCTCCATGAAGAGATTTTCTAGCATTTTAAACCTCGGCTAAATGTTAGGAAGAACTTTCTGACTGTTAGAGCGGT